TTGTATGTTACCTACTGCAAACCAAATAAGTTTGGGAACCACTGTTATATACTCTTGCAGTCATCAAATATGTCGAGCAGGCTACGACGATTTTTCTGTTAGTCTATACAATCTATACTAATCTATACTAATATTATAAAGAGGTAAAATATGTTTGTTTGTTTGTTTGTTTGCAGCGAATAGGCTCCGGAACTACTGGTCCGATTTAAAAAATTCTTTCACCGATAGAAAGCTACATTATCGTGGAGTAAAGTAGGCCATAATTTATTTTGAAAAAAATTAGGGATCCGTAAGAAAATTGCAATATTGTCGCATATAAAGTGAGTTGCTACCTCATCACACTGACAAACACGCTACCATAGCATTTTAACTCAATTTTTGTAGTTTTCATTTATCATTTCAAAGTGAATTAAGTTTTTTTTACATATTATGCAAACTTAGTGTTCTCTGCTCAGTTAATTTCATGGATAAACGGGTATTGTGTTCACTGTGAAATTGTAAAAAAAAAAAGAATTTTTATTCAATTTAAGTTGAACTGTGAAAATTATGTGGATCATGCATTTGAGGATAAATTCACCACTCTGTTCATAGTCCAAAATGCTTAGAGGACGACGTGCAAACATTGGCCGCAGACATCCAAGCCAGCAGCCAGTATATTCACAAAACTTAAGCGAAGAAAAACAATTGAGCACATGGAGATCATTGGCATCATTCATTCGCTTGGCATTCCAATATGATCCCACTGCGAACTACAGATAATGAAAATTTAGATATTGGACCAATGGCGACTATATACCGATATTGCAGTGCGTTAAAGTTTAAGGGGCACAACTAGTGTGACATTTCAAAAAAATCTTTTTTTTCTTTCATATTTCGGTAGATTACACCTTTTAAAATAAGATATTAAAATTTCAAATTGATATCTCAAATAGTTTTTGAGTTATAGCAATTTTAAGAGCAGCCGCTCGTATAACAGTGAGTACGATCATTTTATCTTTAAACGCGTTTTTCTCGAAACAGCATTTTCCGAATTTGCTGCAGTGATAACTCAAAAACTAATGATCCGATCACTATCAAATTTTTTTTACATGTTCTATATATAGTTCTCCCTACAATGACCTATCGATTTTTTTGATCCGATCAAAAATCAAATTTTGGCAGGCCAAAAGCGACCAAAATTTTGGGTAAAATTCGATTATTTTTTTTATAACACCGCCATTTTGTCAATTTTTGATATTTTTTATTTATCGTAGGTCATTGTATAGACAATATCATCTAGTTTAACGAGAATTTTTCATTTTTTGATTTCATCCACGGAGAGGGCCGGAATCACTGCAGCAGTTGAGGCACTTATTTTTTTTAGCGCCGTTGGAGATCGGCTCTAACTTAAAAAAAATTTAATTTTTTTTTTTTAAATTTTACTGTATATTCTTCAAACATGTATAAATATATTCTGAAAATTTTAAAATAATTGATCAAGTAGTTTTTTTAATAAAAATTCCCAAAAATCACCTTTTTTTTTTTGTCTGTCACACAAGTTGTGCCCCTTAAAAGAGAAACGGCCGGATTGTGCTGCGCAAGTGGAAAAGTCAAACTGGAAAAGTGTTAAATCACCATCTTTCTATACTTCCATATATTTGAAAAATGTTGCAACATTGACTATTATGTTGTTAAATTGTGTTGACCAGCGAAGCGGGCACAGGACCTATAGTAATTAAATAAATGAACAAAATAATGTCAGATTTACCTGAATTCAATTTTATTCCACCACGTTACGATATTGTCAACGATTTTCTGAAAATGGCCCAACCCTGACTACATGGCCCAACGCTGACTACATTTTTTTTCAAAAACCTATAACTTTTTTTGTTTTTGTTTTTTTTATTCTCTATTTTTGGTGAACACTTTCTCTTGCTTGTACCTTTCCAAAAATGTATAAACTTATTCTGAATTGTCATTCGTTCAGAACTTATGGACATAGGTAAAAAAAATGGCCCAACCCTGACAACATTCCCCTACATAGATTTTTCGATCTTTCAAATGCTATGATTAAAGACAACGGCGTGATAATTTCTTCCGTTATTTTTTCGATCTTTCCAATAACTATACAACTGCGTGCAATAACTATATGACTTTTGATATATTTTCAGGAAGATAGCAAGATGGACTTGTTTACAGACGTACACGTCTGGTTCGATTTAGATTGTTTTGCTCATCTATACTTAATGGGTTCTGAGATGTCACCTTTACTGCGTTGCAAACTTCTGACTGAAATTATAATACCCTTTGCTCTGCAAGGGTATAAATATGGAAAATTAATAAAAAGTCGTCGTAGCTTCGATGTTGTTTAGCCTAGTGTATTGTGTTCGAAATATTTGATGACTGCAAGGCTATATAAGCTTCGGCTTGCCGAAGCTAGCTTCCTTTCTTGTTCTATTGGGTTGGCAAGAAAGTCATGTCGTTTTTTTTAGTAATCGTTTTTAATCTAATTTATTTACGACTAATCGAGCACCAGGGTCACACTATTTAGTATCTTTTTAAAGCTTATTGTCTTAGGTACTATCGACGAAAATTTGGTAATTATTCGATAACATTTGTGGAAGCTATAGCAAATTAAATATGGAGGACCAAAGTGAGCATTTTCGGCATATTTTGCTTTTTTACTTCCAAAAAGGAAAAAAAAGCGGTCGAAGCTCGCGAAAAATTTTGCGAAGTGTATGGTAAAGATGCAATGAGTGATCGCCAATGTCAGCGCTGGTTTGCCAAATTCAGGCTTGGAGATTTTGGAGTTAAAGACGCCCCACGTTCTGGTCGACCATCGGCCGTTTTTAACGAACAAATTCAGGCTTTGCTGGATGAAAACCGGCGTTATTCAACGCGGGAGATGTCAGAGAAGCTCAGTGTGTCGCATACAACGGTTGAAAACCATTCGAAGAAACTTGGCTACGTAAGCAGGCTCGATGTTTGGGTTCCGTATAACTTAAAGGAAATTCACCTAACTAAGCGTATCAACATCTGCTATTCTCTGCTGCAACGGATTAAAAACGATCCTTTTTTGAAGCGGATCATTACTGGCGACGAAAAGTGGGCTGTTTATAATAATGTCCAACGAAAAAGATCATGGAGCAAGAAAGATGAGCCAGCCCAAGCCACATCAAAGGCCGATATCCATCAGAGGAAAGTTATGCCGTCTGTTTGGTGGAATTGGAAGGGTGTAGTGCACTTTGAGCTGCTGGGACGGAATGAAACCAACGGAGCTGAATTGGGAAGTGCTACCACATCCACCTTATAGTCCGGACTTGGCACCTTCGGATTACCATTTGTTTCGCTCTCTTCAAAACTCTTTGAATGGTAAAAACTTTGATTCAGATGAGGCTGTCGAAAACCACTTGTCTCGATTCTTTGCTGGAAAAGACCAAAAGTTCTTCGAGCGCGGAATTATGCAGCTGCCCGAAAGATGGTCATTAGTGGTCGAACATATAAATAAATCATCTTTGAAAATATTGAAAACGACATGACTTTCTTGCCAACCCAATATTTTATTCAACATCTGCTATTCTCTGCAGCAACGGATTAAAAACGATCCTTTTTTGAAGCGGATCATTACTGGCGACGAAAAGTGGGTTGTTTACCATAATGTGCAACGAAAAAGATCATGGAGCAAGAAAGTTGAGCCAGCCCAAGCCACATCAAAGGCCGATATCCATCAGAGGAAAGTTATGCTGTCTGTTTGGTGGAATTGGAAGGGTGTAGTGCACTTTGAGCTGCTGGGACGGAATGAAACCATCAATTCAGATGTGTACTGTCGCCAGCTATTCAATTTGGCGGAAAAAATTAAAGAAAAGGAGCCGGCACAAGCTAATCGCAAGGGTATAGTCTTTCACCATGACAACGCTAGGCCCCACACATCTTTGGTCACTCGGCAAAAATTAACGGAGCTGAATTGGGAAGTGCTACCACATCCACCTTATAGTCCGGACTTAGCACCTTCAGATTACCATTTGTTTCGCTCTCTTCAAAGTTCTTTGAATGGTAAAAACTTTGATTCAGATGAGGCTGTCGAAAACCACTTGTCTCGATTCTTTGCTGGAAAAGACCAAAAGTTCTTCGGGCGCGGAATTATGCAGCTGCCCGAAAGATGGTCATTAGGGGTCGAACAAAACGGCCAATACATAATTGATTAATTATAAGTCCTGATATAAATAAATCATCTTTGAAAATATTGAAAAAAACGACATGACTTTCTTGCCAACCCAATATTAAGTTTCTATACTATCGACGGTTGTTCATAAGACAGCTATATGATTCAATCGCTAGATTATTTCTATGAAATTTAATTCGAAAATTCTCTGATTTTGATCAAAAAAATTTTTCGATCTCTCGTATGCGAACTATTTGATATAGTCGCCGATCCGACTTACATAGTGGGTGCCAGGGGCCGACGCAGGGGGTGGTCAAAGGAAATAGCGATATGGAAAAAATGAAGTCAATAGTAAAAAAAAAAAAAAAAAAAACAACGGCGTAAAAATTTGTTTTCGATTATTTTTTTGATTTTTATTATGGTAACTATCCGTCGTCCGACCTGGCCCGATTTATATTTTGCGTGCAATAACTACAAAACTTATGGAAAGATTTGGCGAGAGACCTTTAAAACTGAAAGACTAGTTCACATAGAAACAGACAAACGTGCATGTGTAGATTGACTGAGATGTTGATCAAGAACATTAAATACTTTCTTCACTGCTTTCAAAACTATAATATCCTGTAATAGGGTAAATTCTGGGCTCAATAAATCCAATACCAGTTTAGTACATATGTAGGTACTTCACAAAAAACGGAAGTTCTCGTTGAGTGGGAACCTTAATTAGAAACTGAAAAAATAGTTACTTAAGAAAGTGTATAATCGCCTTAACTGTTTTTTGTTAATAAGTCAAATGATTTTAAACAATTACCACAAATTCTTGACAAAAATAAAAATTTGATATTATATATTTATTTACCTTTAGATGAGGATGGCGTGACTTTTTCTGGTGTTATAAAAGGAAGTTTGTCGTAATTGGGGTCTTCAACTTCTTGACATCTGTACGATAGATTGCGAAGTATACATACGCAATTTTCTACCGTTTTATTTCCGATATTATTTTTTTCAATCGCTGTTCGTACTACATAAAGCAGGCATTCAACTAAATTTTCGCAATTACGAAGACATCCTCTAGCATGTTCTCCAGCAGAACTGACATTTCGTAACACTCCAGAAGCGTTCCGAAATACTGTAGAAAAACATGTGTCTCCACAACAAACAGCATCCCAACCAGAATGCGGCTTAATAACATTGCAAACTACAGCAGCGAGTGCTTCATCAATAATTGACCGCTTTAGATCTTCACAGGAAGACATATTCCACAAGACTCCAGTCACCAACTCCTTTACTTCTGTTTCTTGAGACCGACAAAGAAGATGAACCAAAGCGTCTATTCCACCAGCGTTCTTTATTCCTCGTTTGTTTTCATCATTTTGTCTCCCATAAGATAAATTCCGAAGAGCACCGCAAGCGTTTCTTAAAAGAAAACATACATATACAATTACAATGCAAGAAACATATTTTTAAAATTTAATATTTATAAAATCGCACTTCTCACTTTCAAGTGCTCCCAAAAATAGACAAACAAAAATTTAAAAATAGTACCTTGTGTATCTAGTGCGGTAAGAACGAGATTACACTCGTGAAGTTAGTGCCCGAGCGCAGTCCCAACTGACCGAGGGAAAAAACGTGCGGCAAGATTGACGGACATATTCATTTTTTTAATTTTTAAAAAATTTTAACTTTAAAGCATGAAAGGAGGCAGTCATCAAATATGTCGAACAAAATACATAAAGGCTATGACATTACAACATAAACAACTTAAACATTAAGGAAAGTACTTTACTAAGCTATCGTTGCACCCTAACCAGGTTGCGCAACCAATCACGTCTCCGTCGCAATGACTTACCCACCCTGAGTGGGTCACCTGAGTGACGCGCAACCAGAATGCAGTCTTAGTCAAATTTAGTGTTAGTTAAATTTTAATGTTAAGATTCGTAAACTTATTGTTAGTCTCAAAATTAAGAAAAGAAGATTCAATAAATAAAAGCAAAGTAATAAAAAAATCTGTATGTTCGACGATATGTCAGCTATATGATATAGTTATCCCATTTTAATACAAGAAAGGAAGCTAGCTTCGGCAAGCTGAAGCTTATATACCCTTGCAGTCATCAAATATATCGAAAAAAAATACATAAAGGCTAAACAACATCGAAGCTAAGACGATTTTTCTATTCATTTTCTATATTTTCGACTATAGATCATATGGGAGCTATATGATATATGATAGTTGTCCGATTTAAAACTTTAAATGTTTGTCAAATATAAACCAACGATGTTATAATTTTATTTCCGTTTTTCTATATAGATTTTTTGATCTTTCTTATGGCAGCTATAAGATATAGTTGTCCGATTTTTATGAAACTTTTTTCTCAATATAAGGGTTGTTAAAAAACGTGATATTCAAAAAATCATGCTCGTGGGATAAAAAACAACGACGCTATCAATTTATTTCCATTAATTCTATATATATGTTTCGATCTCTCCTATGGCAGCTATATGATAGAGTTACCGATTTTGTTCAAATTTAATCAGAAATTCAATAACAGTTAGAAAACGCCATCTTGAAGAATTTAAGTCGATCTGATCAAAAACAACGGCGTAAGAATTTTTTATTTCATTCTCTCGTATTGGAGCTATCCGATATAGTCGGCCGATCCGGCCCGTTCCGACTTATATACTGCGTGCAATAACTACACACCTTTTGGGAAAGTTTCAGCAAGATAGCTTTAAAACTGAGAGACTAGTTTGCGCGGAAACGGACAGACGGACAGATGGACAAACGGACAGACGTACAGACGTATTCCGATTCTGCTCGTGATGCTGATCAAGAATATATATACTTTATGGGGTCTAAGGTGTCTCCTTCACTGCGTTGCAAACTTCTGACTGAAATTATAATACCCTTTTGCTCTGCAAGGGTATAAAAATCGTCATAGCTTCGATGCATTTTAGCCTTTATGTATTTTGTTCGACATACATGATGATTGCAAAGGTACATATATAAGCTTCGGCTTGCCGAAGCTAGATTCCTATCTGGTTTAAATTTATTTCTTTATTATTTACACTATTCGAAGCGATTTCTATAGGTATTGTTTTTGAAAAATAATATAGTAAAATTTCAGATGTTGAATATTAAATTGAAATTCCTTCCATTGACCCTTACTTACTATACGCGCACGAAGCGAATTGACGCTCGTTAGAGTCGTTGGTCGGCGCACGCCCTGAGACCGAGCGCGCGGACCGTGCATGATAATCTTTAAAATTCTATAACTCAAAAACTAATTTTGATCCCATTCTGAAATTTTAGTATGTTCATCAGAAGAAATTGAAGGATTTATTGTGAAAAAAAAAAAAAATCAAAAATGTCCAAGTTGGAGAAAAATGAATTTGTTATAAACATTTGAACTTTTTGTGGTGAAAAATTGTTTAAAAAATTTTTTCACGAAAGTTTTGCAAAGAAGAAGAAAGGATGAAATTTGTACTTCCTATTCATTTTTTTTCTGCGACGTACGGTTTTCGAGTTATTGGGGCTGGAAAACGCGACTGTCATCAAAAAAAGGGCAGTTCATCAAAAATTCAAAAAATCATAACTTTGTCAAAAAAATTTTCTGAGCCAAATAAAAAAATACGTGTCGATTTATTTTCAATAAAGAGCATGAAAAAAAATATCTCATCGAATTTCCCGATATCGACTGTAAATCTGATATGGAATCACCCACATACATCAATTAAACTGTTAATATATATATGCAACCTGTTCAATTAGAATTTCTTTTGACACTCACACCTCTCACCCTTTTTTCTACTGCTGTAAATGAAATCGTTTTGGCACAGAAATGATTTCGGCTTAAAAATCGTCTTCCCGCTCTCACACACGCAACCGCATTCTATTTTTAGATTTTTACGCTCTCAACTTTATGCGAGCGCGCTGAGAGCGAGAGAGTAAAAAAGAGGATAGAGATCGTTCGTCAGCGGTTAGAGAGGGATGGGATCCTCGCTTTTTCGTGACGGTCATGAATCGATTTTACTCCGTCCCCGAAAATCCATAACGCCCCTAAAGAAGTTTCACTTCAAAAATTCTGACTCCGTTGTTTTTGATCAGATCGACTTGATTTCTTCCAGATGGTGTTTATTAACTACTGTCGAATTCCGGATAAAATTTTTATTAAAATCGGACAACTATATCATATAGCTGCCACAGGAAAGATCGAAAAATATATATGGAATTAATCGAAATTAATTGATAACGTCATCGTTTTTCATCACACGACCATGATTTTTTGAATATCAAGTTTTTTAACTAGCCTTGATTTATAAAAAAAAATTCATAAAAATCGGACAACTATGTCATATAGCTGCCATAGGAAAGATCGAAAAATCTATATTGAATTAACGGATATAAAATGATAACATCGTTGTTTTTCATCAGCAAATGATTTTTGGAATAAAGAGTTTTTTAAGGGGCACAACTAGTGTAAAGTTTAAAAAAAAATCAAAAAAATGTTGTTTATATATTTCGGTAGATTACACCTTTTAAAATAACATATTAAAATTTCAAATTGATATTTCAAATAGTTTTTGAGTTATAACAATTTAAAGAGCTGCCACTCTCATAACAGTACAAGCGATCATTTTATCTTTAAACGCGTTTTTCTCGAAACATCATTTTCCGAATTTGCTGCAGTGATTACTCAAAAACTAATGATCCGATCACTATCAAATTTTTTTTACATGTTCTATATATAGTTCTCCGTACCATGAACTATCCGTTTTTTGATCCGATCAAAAATACAATTTTGGCAGGCCAAAAACGACCAAAATTTTGGGTAAAATTCGATTTTTTTTTTTAAACCCCGCCCTTTTTTTAAATTTTGATATTTTTTTTATCTTAGTTCATGGTATAGACAATATCATCTAGTTTAAGGGGTTATATACCTTCTTTGTCGAAGAAAAAGAGGAAAGTTCGGATTTTTTTTTTAGGTATGTAGCAATTATTTAATTACACGGGTGTTTTAATTTTTTGATAATACACTTTATTAACTATGTTTGTGCAAAATTTCGTGGAAAAATATCAATTAGTTTTTAAGGGGTGGCTGTTTCCCTTAGAGGCTTTTTTTTTAGAGCCTTGCGGTGATAACGCTCCTGGTCGAACCGGTCAACTGAAACCATTAAAGTAAAAAAATTTCATTAGTTTAGAGTAATATCTTGTGCTTGAACGAACGATTTAAATTTATTTTATTTTTGTATGCATACGGGAACGTTTTATGCTAAAAATGAGCTTTTACTAAAAAATTCATTTCGGCGAAAAAAAGTTTTTGCGTGAAAAGTCGATCGTTCAAGCACAAGACAATTTCATTACGAACATTTGAAAAAATTTGAAGTAAATCGGTTCAGTAGTTTTCCGCCAATCGTTATCACCGCAAAGTCATTTTTCAAGAAACACCATTTCGAGATATTCGCGTTTAAAGTTTCAAGTTCAGTTTCGGGCCGCGCGGTTAGGAGCGCTGTAACTTTTTTCTACTGCTCGAATCTCTATGAAAATTTGGGAAACTGTTCTCAAAGAGTTGTTCTTTAAGATAAAGCAATAAAAAATTTTTCGATTTTTTGAAAATAAAAAAAGGTATATATATAACCCCTTAACGAGAATTTTTCATTTTTCGATTTCATCCACGGAGGGCCGTAATCACTGCAGCAGTTAAGGCACTTTATTTTAGCGCCGTTGGAGATCGACTCTAACTTATAATATTTAATTTTTAAATATTAAATATATAAATATTATATATTTAATTTTTTTCTTTAAAAATTTCACTGTATGTTCTTAAAACATGTATAAATATATTCTTAAAATTTGAAAATAATTGATCAAGTAGTTTTTTTTTATAAAAATCACCTTAGGCCGTCACACTAGTTTTGCCCCTTAACGACTCTTGAATAACAAATAAAATTTCATCGATATCGGACGACTATATCATATAACTGCCATATGAATAATGGTCAAAAATGTGGAAAATTAATAGAAAAGTCGTCGTAGCTTTGATGTTGTTTAGGCTTTGTGTATTCTGTTCGAAATATTTGATGACTGCAAGGGTATATAAGCTTCGGCTTGCCGAAGCTAGCTTCCTTTCTTGTTTTATTCACAGAAACATTACCATTTATCTTGGGAGCGATGTAGATTTTGAATTTATTTAAAGAGTATACCGAGAAATTATTATTCCCACTTGCACTAAAGCAATTCGCAGCCTCTACCTATTAAAGAATGTTCAAAGAATTCAAAGAAATTATACTTCAATCACATGAAAAACTTTTACATCCAGGTATACAGAAAATGACAAAATTATTCAAAGAAAATCACTTCATTCCAAATAGCCAATTATTAATTCAGAATATAATAAATTATTGCAACATATGCAATT